ATGGATCTTGTGCCGACCTGACACTGCGCTGGGCTAGTGCTGTGTGTGCCACAGAGCTTCCTGCAGGGCTGCCCACATGGGAGAGGGGAGGGGCAGTTTGAGTCACCAGCTCTGCCCCTTCTGAAGGGCTTGTGAAAATGGCAGGTGCTGCCTTGGCATTGAGGGAGAAGTGGGAAAGGGGCCCTGAGTGAACCTCTTGGGTCACAGCTGCTGTAACAATGAGGTAAGATGAATGACTTGGCAGATGAAAAGTGAGGCTGGTTTCTCTGACTGGGAATTGAACCCAAACCTCAGCAGTAAAAATGCTGAATCCTAACCACTAGACCATCAGGGACACATGAACAAGGGACTTTCCTTACCTACATTAGCCTTTCACAGGCCACTTTCTGTCCCCTTCAGGACATGGGTCCATTTTCCATTGCCCAGAGGGGACGAGAACAGAAACCAAACAGAACATCAAAGCAGCCAGACTGGGCCATGCCAGTTGTCCAACTAGCCCACTGGGGGCTGCCTCCCTCACCTCCCCTGGACCTGGCAGGTACCTGGGCCAGCTTAGCCATGGGTCCGCTCTCTGGGACAGCAAACACGGACACAAGGCAGGATTCTCTCATTCTAGGGCCATTCATTGGTTTTTCACCTGTCACAGCTACAGACTAACAGGCCGCCCCCACCGACGGGAGAGACTAGGTGCTCCCCCCCCGGACCTTTTGTTTGCTGTTGCCCAGATGCAGGAGGCCCAGATTCTGCATCACTCACTGGCCCCGCAGGAGGGGGCTGGTTTGATGCTTCACCCCACAGCCCAGCAACGAGCCCCCAAACTTCCCCTGTGTTCTGGGAGCCAGGTTTGCTGTGTGAATTCTGTGGGGCAGGTGACGTCAGGCCTGGGCACTGGGATTAGTACCAGTTTCCTGGGCTGTGGGGCATAGCATGGCTCACAGCTGTGGTGGCCGAGTGGTTAAGGCATTGGACTAGAAATCCAATAGGGTTTCCCTGCGCAGGTTCAAATCCTGCTCACAGCGAGACCTGTGTTTTGGCCACACCCCTTCCTAGGGCAACAAGCTACTCAACCTCTGAGACACTCTCCACACCCTCCCCATCGCTGGTCAATCCCCTTCTGCTCCTTTCAGAGACTACGCAGTGGAGACTCTTTCTTTGAGGCAGAAGGGACGTGTCCAGAAAACAGATTTTTCCAAAATTTGGTGCTGTGTAGCAGCACGTGGAAGAAGCCAAAGTGGCTGCTCCAGGAGGGGGTGTCTGGCCATGTGTGTCAGGGCATTGCGATGTCACATGTGATACCAACACAGGATGCACTGACCTCCCAGCCTGCTGCTGCTCCAAGAGGGGGTGTCTGGCCGTGTGCATCGGGGCATTGTGATGTCTCGTGATATCAACACACAACGCTCTGCTACAGCATCCTCGTCCTACCACCCACCCCAGGAGCTACTGGCAGGCGGCACCGACCCTCTGTCCTCACCTTCTGCAACCAGCTGTTCCCAAGGGGGTGAGTCTGGGCAGAAGGTGATTCCAGGATTCTGTTCCTGCCCTTGTGGACAAAGACATGGGGACAAAGCAGCAGCCCCAAAAGGCCTTTCCGTACCTCAGCTTACAGAGCAGAGGCCTGGAGCAGTTGCTCAGCAAGGCTATGTCTACACTGCCCCTGCTTGTGCAAAAAAATATGCAGATAAGGCAAAGCGTGCACTATTGCTGTGCTTCATTTCCATAGTTAATGAGGCTCCATTTTTGCGCAAGAGGATTTTAAGCAAAAAGAAGCCGACTACACAGCTCCTGTGTGTGCACAACCCAGCAATAGTCCACGCTTTGCCTCATTTGCAATTTTTTTTTTGCACAAGAAGGGGGGCAGGGAAGACATAGCCCATGTGTCCCCGATTGGCTGGCTGGACTCCAGCTCTAAGGGGAGCTTCTTTTCCCTCCTCTGGCTGAAGCAGGCCTCCATGGCTGCTAGGTGGAGCAGCAGGGCAGGCAAGGACCTTGCAGGGGGCACAGCCAGGCTCTCCAAACAAGGACTCAGCTGCAGGGACTAACAAAGCTTGGGATTGAACCAAGGACCAGTAGATCTTCAGTGCAACAAACAATTTTAAGCTGGATAAGGGATCTTTCGGAAAAGGCTTTTTCTAGACTCGCGCTTTTTTCTGGCAACGCTCTGTGCCAAAAAAAAGCGGCAGCCATTTTTATGCTAATGAAGCAGGGGAGATTTAAATCCCCACTTCATTAGCAATTGCAAGGGGTTTATGAGTAGCTCAGTGTGGGGAGCCTAAGATGAAATATTTAAAGGTCCCTGGTTCAATCCCAGGCTTTGCCATGTCTCTCGGTGCAGCAGGGCCCTCTCTGGTCCCCTTGCAGTGCTAGTGCCCTGTGACATCCCCGCATCCACCTTAGCCACAGCCCAGCATTGGAAACTCAGGTCCATCTAATTAACCCCCTTCGCTTCCAACCTTCCCTCAGAGTCCTTGTTTCCTTGGCTAAAGTCCCCTCCCTTGTGCGTGTGGCTGGCAGGGGTTACTAGATGGATCCATTTACATGTAGCTTCACTGAAACCCCCCTTGTTGGCCTGCGCCCAGGTCAGTCCGTGTCACTGGCTCAGGGGTTTCTCCCCCCAGCACGCTGCAGAGAAAGCCCTTGTGTGTGAAAGGGCCTCAAGGAGCCCAGAAACCAAGTTAAAAATAAACTAAAGGAAACATTTTTGCACCCAGTGGAACTCCTTGCCAGAGGATGCTGTGAAGGTGAAATCTACAAGAAGGTCCAAAACAGAACTGGATAATTTAATGCAGGAAAGGTCAATCAATGGCATTTAACCAGGATGGACAGGGCAGGTGTCCCAAGCTGGTGTATTCCAGAAGCTGGGAATGGGCGACGGGAGGGATCACTTAACAAGTGTCTGTTCTGAGGATTCCCACTGGGCAATGAAATTGGCTGCTGTCGTGAGACAGGATCCTGGGCTAGCTGGACAACTGGCATGGCCCAGTCTGGCTGTTCTGATGTTCTGTTTGGTTTCTGATCTTGTCGCCTCTGGGCAAGGGAGAATGGACCTGCCCCCCCATCCTGAAGTGGACAGAAAATGACCTGCGAAAGGCTAGTGTAGGTGAGCAAAAAGCAACATTTCATGTGTCCCTGATGGTCTAGTGGTTAGGATCCAGCACTCTCACTGCTGTGGCCTGGGTTCGATTCCCAGTCAGGGAAACCAACCTGCAGTGTAATGTGATAACTGCCTTGTTGCTTTTCTCACCTCAGTGTTACATGTGACAGCAGCTGTGACCTAAGAGGTGACATCAGGCTCCTTCCCACCTCTCTGGCGCTGCTAAGACAGCACCTGCCATTTTCAGAAGGAGCAGAGCTGGGTGACTCCAACTTCCCCTCCCCTCTGCCATGTGGGCAGCCCTGTGTCAGGGACTTTAACCCAGACGGCCTGTGTTCATTGTCTGACCGCAAAGAGACGGGCAACACCAGCAAGATCCAATCACAAGCTCTTTATTGAATAGTGCGCACTACAATAGAGAGCGGCCCGTCTCCAAAGTGAACCAGCCCCGATTTCATTTACAGGTAGGCTTATATAGACAGTTCTGTTGCGTCATAGACTATTCGCCCAAACAGCCAACCCCCCTTTATCAGTTAGAAACCTCTAATACCCATGCATACCTGGCCAACTATACATCATGGCCTTAAGCAATTCATAATGCATCAGCAATTTCTTATCAGCCCAAAAGACAGGTACTGGGCAA